GGATAACCAATGAACACCCTTGGAAAGCTCTAGGCCCAAATTTATCAGAATGTGGAGAAGTAATGGTGACAAAAACTTGACAACCAAAAGTTCTTAGATGAGTGATAGCAGGTGGCTTGGAATAAAGGATTTGATAAGGTGACTGCCAATTAAGTAAGGAAGAGGGAAGTCTATTGATCAAATAGGTGGCTGTTAGAACAACATCATCCCAAAATTTTTTTGGAAGAGAAGCTTGAAACATTAATGCTCTAGCAACTTGCAAAAGGTGTTTATGCTTTCTTTCTACAATCCCATTTTTTGTGGGGTGTAAGGACATGATTTTGGTGCAAGATGCCTAATTTGGAAAATATAGACCGACAATCTTGATGATGAACTCGAACCATTGTCGGTTCTAATGGTTTTGACCTTGGTACCAAATTGTGTTTGAACCATAAGAAAGAAGGTTTCCGAGATTGTGGGAACTTGAGTTTTGTACCGGATCAGATGTGTCCAAGTACATCTACTAAAGTCATCAACAATAGTGACAAAGTAGTGTGTTTGTGACAGGTTTGGATGTGCATAAGGACCCCATAAATCCACATGAATGAGTTCAAACACAGTAGTAGAATGAATTGTACTCTAAGGAAAAGATAAACGTTGCTGTTTAGCAACCGGACAAATATCACAGGTTATAGTGGTATTCATTGGCATTTTTAGAGTAGAACTGAGTTGCTGCATTACAACTGAAGAAGGATGACCTAATCTAGAATGCCAATGTGCATTTAAAGCAACAACTGTCTGATTATTACAAGGTAAAGGCTTTGTATGTGTTTCTACAGTAGAATGAAGCAGAATTCTTGGCAAGTGAAGCTTTATTTGGCTGTGAATTTCTTGAGGATCAAAGGAGTCCTTTCTGATGGCATAGAGTCCTTTGTAGATTTTGGCAATCCCCAGGACCTGATTAGTCACTAGGTCCTGTATGATGCACAATTCAGACAGAAAAGAAAAGTAAATATTGGCAGTTTAAGCAAATTTTCTGACAGAGATCAAGTTGTATTTAAAGGTTGGAACAAAAAGTGCATTTGGAAGGCTGAGTCTAGGAGTTAAAGAAACTGTTCCAATCTTTTCAACAAACTGAAAGCTACCATCAGGCAAACCTACTGGTGTAATTTGATTAATAGGTTTATGATTGGAAAACAAAGACAAAGAATGAAGCATATGGCCTGTAGCTCCACTATCAAAAAAACCAGGATCATCATCAAATGAATTATAAGAACTGAGTTGTTGATAAGTAGTACTACCTACAAACTCAGTGATGTGTGCAAAATTGACCCTGTTGTCCTCTTGCATAGCCATTTTTCCTTTCATCATCCTTCCAAATTCTTGTTGCAAGAGATTGATTTGGTGAGCCATTGCATTCCAATCCTAAGATGATCCTTCCCTTAAATCCAGTGGAGTCTCCATTGGATTAAAAGCAGCAGCATTTGCATAGTTCTTCTTTGGAGCTTTGGATTTATCTGGCCACCAATCTGGATATCCAATCACCTTAAAGTAGTACTCCTTGTCATGTCCTCCTCTCATTACAGAGTACACCACCTATTATCAAAACGTTCAGACCTTCTCTTACCACCACTATTGAAGCCTCCATTATGAGGAAAACTCTATATTACTGCTGATCCTTTCAACGAATTGAACTGTCCCTTAGAAAGCAAAGCCGTATTATCAACAGAAATTGATGCTGATCCCATCTGAGATGAACCAGAACCAGTATTCTTGGCAGCATGAAATGCCATATTTTTCATTGGTGATTGAACAAAATTTCCTAAAATCTTCTTTTCTGTCTTAAGAACCATAGAATATGCTTTGTTCACTGTAGGGGGCGGATCAAGCAACAGAACTGATCTTTTATGGCCTCATAGCACCCATTCAATCCCATCAAGAACTCTATCAACTTATCCTCTTCAGCACGAATTTGCAAAACTCTAGCAACTTCAGGAGCACATACTGGAACCGGTCTATAATGGCCATACTCATCCCAAACTTTCTTAAGAGAATTATAGTATTTAACCAATGACATATCATCTTGTTTAATACTTACCAATTCTTGATGCAAATTGTAGAGCTTGTTTCATTAGATGTTCCATACCGAGAAGCCGTGTCTTCCCAAAGTTGTTGAGCCGACATTGTGTACATATATCCATCGGCAATGTCCGGTGACAAGGCGGCCATCAACCAAGATTTCACTGTTGAATCAACTTGCTTCCATCCGAAATGCTCAAGAGAGTTCACTGGTGGCTCTGGACATCTACCATCAATAAAGCCAACCTTCAACTTTGATTCAAGAGCAGTTTTCATAGATCTGCCCATCCTAAGTAATTGTGTTCATTCAATGGCACGAAACGAGTACTAATCTGGATGTTCGAGCGTGAAGTGTCATTGTCGCCTCATAGATCCTTTGTTCCTTCGTCAATCGACGATCATTATCGATGTTGCGATCCATGGCGCTTTTCTAAAACTTGACCAAATTGAAAAATTGAAACAGTAAGAATTATGCGGAAGTCGAGAAAAAGAAGATTATGGTTTTAATTTTCAGAGATCGAGCACTGGAAGCTCTCGTACCATGAAAAATGGAAGGTCCGGTCATGGAGGTTTAGGGCAAGGTACGGGACAATCAATTCGGGAATCTATAATTTGTGTATTGAATTGATTTTTAAAATAAATGTGTTTGTAAGGTATATATACATGTATACTTCTACTTGTATTAACTATATTACCAAATATACAAGTATAACCCTACTCATTATGTACAAACTATTCTAACTAAAGGACATTTACGTAAATCAACCAACACCAAATATTTCTTGAATAATGTGATCATCTTTATCCACTGTGGCTGCTGGAACCGGTGCTGATTCGCAATATGATGCTGCTGGATTTAATCTTACATCAACGCCTCAAATTGAGTCCTTAATTCGTGACATGCACGAAGAATCAAGCCATGGCCGTCGGAGGATACGCTTTGGACAGTTGCCAGGAATTCCTTGGCTGCGGCGTGGAAGGGACGCCTGAAGCTTTCATCTGTGCGGCGTGTGGATGTCACCGGGGCTTTCACTGGAGGGAGGTCCGAATGGATGTGGTAGCCGAATGTTCTTCCCCTCCTCCAGAGCAAATTAACTAAGGATCTCTAGTCTGATTTAGTGTTGGATCTTAGAATTATATCGGAGTTTGTTTCTTGTTTTCCCAGTTTGAATTTTATTGTGTGTGGAGTCTGTGTGTGAGGAAGTTCATTCCCGGTTCTAATTTTTATGTTCTGATTTTATTTTCTTTTCTTAGTTGTTAAGATTGGTTGTAATATCGGTCGATTAAGTGATCTTCTCTACATCTTTTATATACAGGAAGTACTCCTTTTTGTTTTCGTAAATTGATATGGCATAATAAGTTTTTGAATCCTTTGAGAAATTAACGCTTTTGTGAACTTGCACAAAAGTTTTACCGGACGTACAAATTGTATATTGATTCCACAAGAAAAATACACATCCAAATGTTACTAATCATTCCATGAAGTGTATGAAGGAGGGAAAAATATATATGTATGATTAGAAAAGCTTGGACAGAAATATGACTGGACGAATTGATTTTGTTCTTCCTTAGTTTGGGATTATTTTTCATGTGGCCAGCTCTCATCGGCTGATCTTAATTATATTCACGAAATCTAAAAAATGCACAACTGATGGGCAAAATGGCTGGCGTTTTAGGTACTTTGGAATCATGTATAACATATATGGTAAATAAAATTTAGGCCTTGATAGATGATATGCCGATGGTAAATAGAATTGGTAAAGAAGGGGGATTATGCCGATGCATCCATCCTCTGAGATGATAGATGAAAACAATATTATGCATTCGGTCGTTGTGGCTTGAAAACTAAAATTCGCGGTGGATGATCTAAATTTTCAATTATTGTGAAAAGCGCAATGGTTGGTCGTGTAAACGTTCTGAGATGTTGCACGTTAAGTGAGCCCTAGTTTATTTCAATTATGTAGTTCGTGACTTGGTGTGCTAAATAGATGAAAATGTAATGACTTGATTCATGTGTCTTCTCTGCTGGAACCAAATGTTCCCGTTCAAATGAAATGACTGAATCATTCCTAACAAATTTGTGTTGCTAAGGCTGAACCGAAGGCGAACAGAGCTAGGGCAACGAAAGCTAAGAAGATTCTCGAAGACACCATTTCTACATTAGTATTTTCATAGTGATGTCGATGAGTGAGGTTTTCCATATTCACGTCTGATTGTTCCTCTTCGATCCACACCGTTCGTTATTATAATGTCGGGTGTATCTACTTCGTCTCTATATTCATGGTTGTGAATCGAAGAAGGATTCATCCCCACAAAATTTGAGATTGTTCAAATCAAATAGAATGAAGCCGAAGTTTAGAGGAACAATCACAAGAAGAGAGAGCTTTTGCTCTTTTCACCGAAAATGGAACCTGATTTGGAAGATTGGAATTATGTGGACCGTTAGTAATTGTAGCCCTGATTCAAGGGTTCTTTTTTTGGATTTGAAAGGAAGAAAGTTTGGAATTGTAGCCCAGTTATTGACGCCAAACAAATTAATTGGTTTCCTCTCAAACCATAACCGAATTTCGTATGCACTGCATATTTTAGGAGTGTTTTCATCAATGTATTATTCTCAGCATAATTTATGATTTAATAATGTGGACTATCTTGTGGAACTGATGGATTAGATAGGAAATTATATTTAAATACGTATTATAGCACATAATTACCTTTTAGCAAAGAGAAAAACAGATACATAAATATGATGAAGGGACTTTCATGTTCCTTTTTATCAATTAATTACATTTAAATTACTTATCAAAAAAAAAAAAAGGCTCCCTTTGCTCTAAAATTATTATCCAATTTATTCATTTTTAATTCAATTTATACTAAAATTGAAAATTAAAATTAGACAATAATTTTGGGACCGAAAAGTACGTACATTTGACTTATTATCTTCTTTAGTTCGTGTGTCGAAGAGAAACTAGAGTTGGTTGAAAAACTACAGCAGAAAGGCTATCACAGCGACCAACGTTAAACCCCCAATTATTCATGTCTCCAGTAGCAGAATCGCCATCTCCGTCGCCATGATCATCACCGTCACCGAGGAAGTAAGATTTTGCGTGTCTACCACAATAGGACCTTAAAAGTATCCAATCATTGTCCCAACAAGTTAATACGGTTGAAAAATTGTGTCCAACTCTTACAGTACATCTCTTAGACCATGATAATGGCCCTTCCCCATCCTGATGGGTCATCACCCAGACTTCAAAGAATCCACGCATAAATTTCTCTATGATCAATGCAAGGGAATCGCCCAAGACTGATATACTTGAATTTCGCCCTCCAGTACCTGATGCTTCTTTCGATGATGGAAACTTTATAATGCCAAATATTTCCGTCTGGAAGTCAAATTTAAGAATGAAATTTGTCAACCGATATTCCCCCACCCAATGGCAAGAACCATTCACAAATACTCCTGCGGCGGGACCAAGTTTGCCCAATGTCAAAGTGACCTCAAAAACTCTTATAGGGTTATTTATAAGAGCATTTACATCCAAACAACTGTTCAGGGAGGTACCATATATAAAAGCTTAGTCCAACAGTTGGCACTGGGTTTATAAATTTCACCATATATAAAAGCTTCTTGTTCATATTTATTGCGCAAAAACCCGAACCTCATGACCTTGTAATCGTTGGTTAAGGCATCAAACCCGAAACCCATTAGGCTTCTATCCCAGGACCCATTCATATTCGCACTCGAATCCGGAAGCTTCAGGCATTCCCGAGTAACTGGATTATACAAATAAGGTCTGCGGACCCATTTCGATATACAAAGGATTCCATTGCAAGATCCATAAAGCTGAAGTTGTGGCTCATCAGGGGGTAGACACGAGGACAAAACAAGTAGAGAAAAATTGTTATAATAATGATGATAATCACCTGGGTTGTCATCCTTGTCGCACTTGTGGGTCAATAAGAGTTCGTGGTATTTTTCGGATTCGTTGGAAAACCTGTTGTCTTCTATCTGTCGTATGAGGAAGACTGAATTATTACGGTTATTGTTTCTGTTGAGATGCTTGTGACCGATAGAAAGGTTTCGGATCAAAGCACGCCATGTTTTCGAGACACAATTGCATCTCATCAACGATCTGACGGGCAGCTTCAGTAGGATCTCCGTCACGATTTCTTCCGGCACGTAAACTGCAAGTTTCGTCAAAACCCGCTTTCTATGCATCTCGTCAGCACCGCCGGAGCGACTGATTTTATTACCAAATTCGAGTCCCACAAAGAACGAACTAATCAAATCAATCTGACAAGGAAGAAAAATCAATCACTTTTATAAGTTCTCAAACCCGAGACCACGGTTCGTATAACAACTTCGGTAGAACCTCTCTATTTATAGGTACCTTATTCCTAAATCTACTACTATTACTAGTTTCCTAAACCGACTGAAAACTAACGTAATATATGTATAATAATCTAAAACATGAATATAAAATAAAAGCAAAGTACCTAATCCTAAATAGATTCTAGCAATTTCCTACAACCTAACATGAATCTACTTAATACTTTTTTGAACCTTCCGGCATTAGTCCATCACTCTTTATTGATATATAGCATTGTAGGTACTTGACGTATACGTTACCTTTCTAACCGACTTTCTTATTTACATAGTAACACCCAAAGTTTACGCTGTTCACAAAAATATACTCCTTCCGTCCCAAAATTATTAGCTAGTTTGAAATTTCACTTTTAGTACAAATTAACTAAAACTGAAAATCTAAACTCTATTTGCGGACTAACTGCATAGACTAAAGCCACAATGTAATGTCATATACGATGAGGTCGCTAACGATGTCGTGCATGCTTTATCACTCTCATCCATGACTATTAACGGGCAGCTTCGTGAATCCTGTTATATATACTAGTGCTTACCCTGCATTCAAGATATATATGATTTTAATGATTTAACGATTATATAACATTTCGATCGTGATATGTAAAAAAAAGTAATATTAATGATTCAAATTTCAATTGTGTTGGAAAACAATGTCAATGTATTTTACTATTTTAAGTATATTTGGAATTATTTTCAGTATTCAAAATCATCCAATGTAACTTATTTTTCATCTTTTTCGTTTTGTTGATTTATGGGTTTTATCTTTTGAATGTATTCTCTTAATTTTTTATAATTATCTAACTAACCTCTACTTTTGCGGAAAATTTTATCATTATTTCTTTCCATAAACTTATCTTTATTTATTTATTTTTTTTTTCTAACTTTTCTTTAGAATATTGTTCGTAAATTTTTCCTATAATATAGTGTTGTTGGAGGTTTGCTCTCATGCTCCTTCCCACTCAATAATCAACTAATAATGGAGAAATCTAAATTTCGGGAGAGAAAAATCTAAGCTTGAATAGAAATGGTTTCCGCAAACATTCTCTGCGCTTCCTGATAGTGAGATTGTTGACACCGATTTTAAATCGTGTCAACCCAAAAAAAATTTTGAATCGGCCCAATCCACTCGATGTGGAAAAACCAAATCCAAATCGGGAAAAAGAAGAAGTGTCGAAGGCCCAGTTGACACGAGAAAATGAACCATATAGCCACGTTCAGGGAGCTGTGCGTGATCTGTGGGTGATTTTGGTTACCCACGGCCGCCAAGGCAAAATTTTCCGTGAGTATTCGGCTGTTTTCTAATAGTGAAATTACGAAATAAATAAATAATTCGTCTCTCCAATAAAAGTAATCTAGTTTGACAAAAATTTTTTGTCCCGGGGGTCTTTTGGTTTTTCACGTTTTGGTACTCTGAAGTTGGTATCTGGGCTGCCTAGGCATTCCCGTGGTTTGGGATTCAAATTAATGGTTATTTGTGTTTCGTTTTGTTGATTCTATCCTGATTTGTATTATTGTTCTTATTTCTATATCAACGATTTGATTGGTACGTGGGGGGGCTTATTTGCTCATTATCTTTTTCATCTCATTTCTGAGCGATTGGTGGCAAAAGTTTAGCTCGTCAATAAAAAGATGTGTGATTGTTTTGTTTTAAGCACAATTGACAATTTTAAAACTTGTGAGGATGATTACATGCTTTTTAGACAATGGTCTCGTTTATTTGGTGGAAAGAAACGATGTCTTACATGCCTAATATCCTGTGTGCTTCTTTGTTCAATTGCAGTCGTTAGGCTTGCAAATTAAACTCCGAAAAATCCAAAATAACAGCTAGGCAAAGTTTCCACTACCGAAATTCAAAACCTCTTCCTTCACAAAATGCTTTTCAGCGTGACGGCCACATATTCTTTTTTTTTGTTACCTTAATTTAATTTGTTTTCTCTTGGACTTAATTTTGGAAAAAAAGGCTTAATTAGCTGTTCATTTGATCTTTTCGTATGCTACATTATATACCAAATCACTAGGCTAATTAGCTAAACGATTTTAGCGTTGCTCCCAAGTCCCAAAGTATCATTATAATGTCCCCTTCCTTCACATGAAACCGTATGGTCCATATCCAAATTAATAAACGTGATTCTTGATCTGCCCCCAACGTTTTTATTACTAGTCAAGAAATTTCACGTAAAAACGTTTATGTTGCTTCCAATATCATCCACTAGAACGTTCCCGTCTTTAAAAGAGCGCAACATCTTGCTCACGACTCACTTGGGTTAGGGTTTTCTTCCATCGGAAAGAACATATCATAAGAAGAAGAAGACCACGAAGGAAAGATGGAGAAACCAGAGGTGACGATCGAAACAGACTCATGTTCAAGAAATGAGACCAATTCGGCGTATGTGGTAAGGCATGTGAGGTTCGGACCATGCTGAAAAATGGAAGGTCCGGTCATGGAGGTTTAGGGCAAAGGTACGGGACAATCAATTTGGGAATCTATAATTTGTGTATTGAATTGATTTTTTAAAATAAATGTGTCTGTAAGGTATATATACATGTATACTTCTACTGTATTAACTACATTACCAAATGTACAAGTATAACCCTACTCATTATGTACAAACTATTCTAACTAAAGGACATTTACGTAAATCAACCAACACCAAATATTTCCTGAATAATGTGATCATCTTGATCCACTGTGGCTGCTGGAACCGGTGCTGATTCTGCAATATGCTGCTGCTGGATTTCATCTTCTGTCAACGCCTCAAATTGAGTCCTTAATTCCGTGATCCCCCCCTCAAGCTTAGCACAAGGATTGTATAAATCACTGAGACTAAGCTTGGATAACAAAGACCAGAATTGAGGTGACAGAAGAGTTTTGGTGAATAGATCTGCTGGCTGCGAGGAGGTACGAATGTGAAAGAGATCCAAGAAGCAAGACTTATAGAGATTACGGGCAAGATGACAATCTATGTCCAGATGTTTTGTACGCTCGTGAAAAGTGGGATTGGCAGCAATGTGAAGGGCTGCTTTATTATCACATACTAAAGGAACAGGTAGAAGAGATGAAACCTGAAAATCCTGAAGGATGGAATGAATCCATTGCAGCTCGCAGGATGTGGATGCCATGCTATGATATTCTGCTTCACAAGAGGAGCGAGAAACATTTTGTTTCTTTGTCTTCCAAGAAACAAGAGAACTGCCAAGGAATACACAATATCCAGTAATGGAGAACCGGGTTGAAGGACATTGTGCCCAATCAGAGTCACAAAAGGCTGTAAGACCAAGATCACAAGTGCTTGAGTAGAAAAGGCCCAAAGAAGGAGTTCCTTTGAGGTATTTGACCACATGAAGAGCAGCTTGCCAGTGAACATCACGGCGAGCATGCACATATTGACTCAGTTGCTGAGTAGAGTGTGTCAAGTCCGGCCGAGTGAAACCGAGGTAGAGTAAACGTCCCACCAATCTTCTGTATTGATCAGGTTGGGAGTAGAGGGGACTTTTTGCATCTTGTAAGCTGAGACCTTTTGGTAAGGGAGTGGAAACTGGTTTGCAGCCAATCAGAGCAGTACTGTCAATAATATCCAACACATATTTGCGTTGGTTAAGAGTGATGCCAGCCTGAGTGCAGGCAATTTCAACTCCAAGGAAGTATTGGCATCTCCTAAGTCCTTAATGGTGAAGGTGTGATGCAGAAACTGCTTAGTGGAAGAGATCATAGACTCAGAAGTGCCTGTCAATAAAACATCATCTACATATACTAGTAAGAAGAGTGAATGATGTCCTTCAGTCTTGACAAATAGGCAGTGATCATAAGAAGATTGTTGAAAGCAAAAACAACCAAGTTGCTGAGTAAATTCTTTGTTCCACTGTCTTGAGGCCTGCTTCAAACCGTATAAGGATTTCTTCAGTTTGCAGACCTTAGAAGAATCAGTACAAGAATAGCCAGGTAGAAGCTTCATATATAGATCTTCATCAATATAACCATGCAGGAATGCATTGTTGATGTCAAGGTGATGAAGATTCCATCTCTTGGCAGCAACAATAGCAAAGAAAAGTCTGACTGTGACAAGCTTTGCCACAGGAGAAAAAGAATCCACATAGTCTTCACCTGCTACCTGATTGTATCCTTTAGCCACTAATCTGGCTTTATATTTATCAAGAGTACCATCTGCATTATATTTAACCCGGTATACCCACTTACAACCAATTGGCCGTTTTCCAGGAGGCAAATCCGTAACATCCCAGGTCTGATTTTTATCTAAAGCATCAAGTTCTTGCTGCATTGCTGCTTGCCATTCTGAATGCATACAGGCCTGTTCAAATGAATGTGGTTTTGGAATTTTGGAAATGTTAGCTACAAAGGCCATATAAGAAGGTGTGAGATGATCAGGATGAATGAAAGGGAAAGTGCAAGGGCTGATAAAGCTGGAAGAAGTGGATGAAGAGGTAAAGGCAGAATAAGTTTCATAATTCTGCATCCAAACAGGTGGTTTCCTAGTTCTAGTACTGACTCTAATTTGTGGAGAAGGAAGAGTATCAGTAAGTGGAATAGAAGAAGAAGTATTAGAATCTGATGAAAGAATAGCCGGGGTAATGATACCATCCTGATCAGGAAAAAAATGATCAACTGGTAGAGGAACGGATTGAGAAGAAGATTTAAGGTTGGAGGAAAAAGGAAAGATGTTTTCTTTGAAGATAACATCTCTTGACGTATAGACTTTGTGCTCTTCCAAACTGTAGATTTTATAGCCCTTTTGGCCATTAGGATAACCAATGAACACCCTTGGAAAGCTCTAGGCCCAAATTTATCAGAATGTGGAGAAGTAATGGTGACAAAAACT